ATTTTTGGGATAAAAGAGCGGGAAAAGGGGGAGGGGGGTTCTTTTCCATGGATTTTTGAGGGAGTTGCCAGCGCAGGGCAGGATTTGGGATCAGTCCCGGAGAAATTCCTGAAAAAATTGCAAGGTCAGGCCAGGAGTTTTTGGGATTTCTGAGTGGATTTTTTGCGGTTTTTGAGGGAATTTTGCAATTTCTGAGGAAATTTTTGAGATAAAATGGTGGGAAAAGCATGAGGGTGTTCTTTTCTGTGGAGTTTTTTGGGAGTTGTGCGTGCAGGGAGGATTTGGGATCGGATTTGGGATCATTCCCAGAGAAATTCCTCACAAAATTGCGAGGTCAGGCCAGGAGTTTTTGGGATTTCTGAGTGGATTTTTTGCGGTTTTTGAGGGAATTTTGGGATTTTCAAGGGGATTTTTGGGATAAAATGGCAGGAAAATTGAGAGGGGGGTTCTTTTCCATGGAATTTTGAGGGAATTGTACACACGGGGAATGATTTGGTATCAGATTTGGGATCATTCCCAGAGACATTCCTGAGGAAATTCCAAGCTTTTTTGGGATTTCTGAGGGGATTTTGGGGATTAAACAGCTGAAAAGGGTGAGGGGGTTCTTTTCCATGGATTTTTGTGGGGATTCTGCTCACAGGGAAGAAATTTGGATCGTTCCCGGAGGAAGTTCCCGAGGAGAAGGAGCTTCTCACTCTGGAAGAAGCGGCCCAAAGGAGCAACGGAGATGTTATCCCAGAAATTCCCGGTGAGAAACTGAATTATGGAATTCCTGCTTTTTCCCAGGGAAAGGGTTGGAAATGAGGGGGGTTTGGCCTCAAAAATTGGGATTTGGAGCTTAAATTAGGCATTTTAGCCTCAAAAGTTGGGATTTGGGTCTTAAAATTGGAATTTTGTCCTCAAAAAATGGGATTTTGCCCTCAAAAATGTGGGATTTGGGACTTAAAATTGGGATTTTGTAGCAAATATTGGGGGTTGGGCATCAAAAATTGGAGCTTTGTCCTCAACAATTTGGATTTGGACCTTAAAATTGGAATTTTGGCCACAAAAATCTGGATTTGGATGTTAAAATTGGAATTTTGGCCTCAGAAATTGTCATTTGGACCTTAATATTGGGATTTTAGCATCAAAAATGGAAGTTTGTCCCTCAAAAGTAGCGCTTTTGAGCTTAAAATTGGGATTTGGGTCTCAAAAATGAGGGATTTGGTATTTAAAATTGGAATTTTGTCCTCAAAAATGTGGGATTTGGACATTAAAATGGGATTTTGACCTTAAAATTGGGATTTTGGCCTCAAAAATTGGGATTTGGGCCTTAAGATTGGCATTTTGGCCTTAACATTGGAGTTTTGGGCACAAAGATTAGGATTTGGACATTAAAATTGGAATTTTGCCCTCAGAAATGTGGGATTTAGGCTTAAAATTAGAATTTTGGCCTCAAAAAGTGGGGTTTTGCTCTCAAAAATTTGGGATTTGGGCCTTAAAATTGGGATTTTGGCTTCAGAAATGTGATTTTTTTTTTCCAGTAAATGTGAGGGTTTATCCTAAAAAGGAAGTGGGTACTAAAAAAGCCAGGATTTGGGATGAAAAAATGGGATTTTGGTCTAAAAATGAGGTATTTGGGCTCTAAAGGTCTGGAATTTTGCCCTAAAAATTGGAGAATGGTCTTAAAAATGTGATTCTTTATCCTAAAAATGTGAGAATGTATCCTTAAAAGTAAGTGGATTCTAAAACTTACAGTTTGGGATCTAAAATGTGGGATTTGGCCCCAAAACAGAAATTTTAGAGCCTAAAATGAAATTTTGAAATTTCAGACCCTAAATATGGGGTTCTTTCCCTTAAAAATTTGGGTTGGATCCTAAAAAATGAGGAATTTGCCCCCAGGAAATCCAAGTTTAGGTGCTAAAACTGGGACTTTTCTCCCTAAAAACTGAGGTTGGATCCTACAAATGTGGATTTCCCCTCAGAAAACGTGGGAGCTGTCCCCAAAAATGACATTTTTGGGTTTAAAAATTGGATTTTTCCCCTAAAAACCTGGAATTTTCCTCTTAAAATCCCGACTTCTTTTCCTTTTTCCCTCCAGATGGATCCAACACGGAAAATTCCCAACTCCCCCCAGATTCCCTGGATTTCCCTCAGCCGGAATTCTCCCCCCCATCCCCTCCCCCACCTCCCATGGATCCCCTTTACCCCCCAAACCCCGACGGGACCGTCCCAGGTAAACCCCGGAGCCAACCCACGGAAAAACCCCGGAAAAACCCCGGGGGAAATTCCACATTTTCTCCTCCTGAATCCCACAGATCCTCCGGAGGAAGTGCTGGAAGCTCTGAGAACTTTGGGATACGATTCCTTCCGGCCCGGCCAGGCTGAGGCCATCATGAGGGTCCTTTCCGGTTCGATTTTCCCGCCTTTTTTTCCCGCCTTTTTTCCTGCCCTTTTCCCTTTCCATTTTCCTGCTCTTTTTCCCTAAATTTTCCCCATCTTTTTTTTCCCCACCCTTTTTCCCTGCTCTTTCTTCCCACTCTTTTTTCCCCATCCTTTTTTTCCCCTCTGTTGTCCCCACCCTTTTTTCCCTTCACTTTTTTCCCCTCCGTTCTTTTTTCCCGGCTTTTTTCCCCTCCAGTTTTCTCACCTTTTCCCCACTCTTTTTTTCCTACCCTTTTTTCCCTGCATTTTTTCCTGCCCCTTTTCCCCTTCTTTTTTTCTCCTGCTTTTTTCCTGCCCTTTTTTCCCCACCCTTTTTCCCTGCCCTTTTTCCCTCAGTTTTGTCTGCCATTTTCCCTGCCCTTTTTTCCCATACTTTTTCCCACCCTTTTTTTATTCCCCACCCTTTTTCCCCTGCTTTTTTCTTCCCCTTTTTCCCCTCTTTTTTTCACCTGCATTTTTCCTGCCCTTTTTCCCCACCCTTTCCCCCCTCTCCATTTTTCCTGCCCTTTTTTCTTTCCATTTTCCCGCTCTTTTTTGTTGCCCCTTTCTTCCCCACCCTTTTATCCCTGCCCTTTTTCCCTCAGTTTTGTCTGCCATTTTTCCTGCCCTTTTTCCCCACACTTTTTTCCCCCTCTCCATTTTTCCTGCCCTTTTTTCTTTCCATTTTCCCACTCTTTTTTTCTTGCCCATTTTTTCCCTGCCCTTTTTCTCTCAATTTTTTCTGCCATTTTTTCCCCATCTTTTTTCCCACCTTTTTTTTACTGCCCTTTTCTCCTGCTCTTTTCCCTGCCCTTTTTCCCTGTTTTTCCCACATTTCCCCTCAGTTTTTCCTGCCCTTTTCCCCATTTTCCCCCTCAGTTTTTCCCACCCTTTTCCCCACTTTTCCCGTCAGTATTCCCTGCCCTTTTCCCCACCATTTTCCCCACTTTTCCCCTCAGTTTTCCCCACCCTTTTCCCCTCAGTTTTTCCCGCTCTTTTCACTACATTTCCCCTCAGTTTTTCTTG